CTTTTGACCTGGCTCCGCGACTCCCCACAAGCTTTCATTTCTTCCTCACACGATCTCCTCCATGCCACCCTCGGCTAAGACGCCCAACCACTCCTTTCCCATTTGGCTTCCACTTGACGACCTGGCCTGTCATGTGATGTCCCCAAACAGTCTTCTCAGTGTATGTCTAGTCCAATCCATCTCCACTTTCTTCTCCTGCATATTTGTTGGGCGATAGGTTCGTGGTTAATTCGTTGCCAGCCAACCAGAGTCCCTTGTTGCTTATTCTTATTATTCTGGACATCTGATCTCCATCTTCAGTATCGGGTGAGTGTAGGCGGCAGCTTTTGACGTGTCTGCAGTTTGTTGGAAATGCTTTTCGTAACGCGTCAAGCCTCTCAACCATCACATAGAAGCACTGACTCGACTGAATCAGTGTTCAAAATCCGGATCTTGTTCACGCTTTATGCTGAGTGGAGTGGAGTGCAGTGGATCTCCACACCTTTTACTTCAGATTATTGAAGGTCTATCTTGCTGTCTTTTCGATCCTGGCTTTGACATCCTCATCTGTGCCTGTGCCACCTGTAGTTGAAACGATGCTGCCTGTCTAGGTAGGTGGAAGGGACTGCTTCCTTTAGATTTCTCCCATAGATGGTGATTGGTGTTTGTTGTTGTTGTTGGTTGGGTATCTTCATCACCTCTGTCTTCTCTACATCCACTTGAAGTCCCATCTTTGCTGGTCTGCCTCTTCTGCCAACTTGTTGGTTTTTGCCTGTAAATCTTCGAGTTTGTGCGACTAGACATTAGACATAAACCATCATCGGCGGAATCCAAATCTTCTACAGTCTTTTCATCAATCTAGACAGCGTGTATCCATCTCACTCCTCACAGTTTGTTGCATGATCCAGTCAATTAATATGGGTTTAAAACTTGGGCACTGTAGTAAAATCTAATTCCTTATTGGATTTGTTTATTTGATTTGTAAAACACAGTGATATAGTATTATTTACTTGATGACGTTTCGAGCGTAAATTATTGCTCATATGATTATGAACAACAAATTAAATAAGCAAATCTGATATGGAATGATCCAGTCAAGTCAAGTCGACCACAATGAGGTAGGTCATCGGTGATAGTAGGCAGCAACCTTGTCTTACTCCTGTTTGTCTTCACTTCAAAGGCGTCACTGAGCTTTCCATTGTGAATCACTTGAGATGTAGCATCATATAGCATATAGCTGTTGAATGAGGTAGATAGAGATTTGTGGCACTAAAACAGTTGTGTTGAAGCAGCTGCCAAATTACTTTTCGGTCGACTCTGTCTGAGGCCTTTTGAAAGTCAGTGAAGTTGAGGTGAAGATTTAGTTGACTGCCGTTCTTTGCTCTACTCTATGATGATGCGTGCGTAGTGTTGCAGTGTGTTCCGTACATGAATTGTTTTTCTTGAAGCCAGCCAGCCAGTTGTGGTCGTAATTTTGAATCCAGAGCATTTTTCAGTCTCTCTAGTGTGATGCGGCTTAATATATTGATTGTTTTGGGTGGACAGCAGCATGATTCCTCACCAGTTCTTGCAAAGACTTAGGTTTTTCCTTTTTGGGAGTTTGAAGAGGTAGCCGTTCTTCCACTCTGCAGGCAGGTACTTTTACTTCCTTCCTTCCTTCCAAACATTGTGCAATAGTGGTGTGAGCCTGTCTGGTGTTATCTCTGCCTCTGTTCTCAGTGTTTCTGGTGGAATTCCATCTGGTCCGGTTGCTTTACCGGGGTTCAGCAGTTTTATGATGTTCATGACTACGCTTCTTGTTTTGTCGGAGGGCTTGTGTACACTGGTAGTTCTGTGGCTGGGCTGTTGGTAGTGTTTCTGGACGAGTTGCAGGTGATGGTGGTGGTCGAGTCAAGAGTTTTTTGAAGTAGTCAGTCCATCGTTTCCTTTGCTTCTCCTCTTTGGTATCTAGGTTTCCTTCACTATCTTTTATTGGTTTCATCTGTGTTGATCTCTTCCCTCCTCTCTGGTTATTTGATATAGTGTTGTCAGTTCTCTCCTACCTGTAGCCTGTTCTGCTTCACTTGCCAGTGTGTCGTAGAAGTGTCTTTTGTCCTTGTCCATGTCTGTATGCTAATTTTCGCTATCATCGAGAGAAGGGAAGTCAGATCGGCCAGTTGACTTCCTGAAGGCTTTCACCAACCGGCGTCATTTCATCTCTCCGATTCCAGCGAGGAATTAGTTTGTTTTCATTTTCTGTATTTTCTTTGTGCTTTGAAGTTTCCTTAGCGATTTGATTGGTTTTCCTGGGTAGGGTTGCTAGCCGTATGCCCAACCTTCTCTTTTTATCCGGGCTTAGGACCGGCTAGTAACTAGTTAACTAGGCGAGGCTACTCTAACACGTAGTTTTTTTATTTTGACAAGAAATGTAGCTTTTTCATCATGTAGATTATTATTTAGAGTCACCCGTATTTAGTCGACATTGCGTCTAAAGTGGACCTCAATAAGTAAAATTCTACGTTCATCCTATCCGCCATCTGTACCTCCAGTCAAGGAGGTGCTTGATGCTGGTGTATATCTACTACGCTGAAAACGGCTATTTGACCCTGAAAATGTGGAAGATACCGTCTTGCTGTATGATATCACAGAGACTGCTGGATGCCCGCTTATTCAGTTTGGGATAAATGTCCGTATGTATGGTATATGCTTCATACGGCCGAATAGCAGAGTACTTTTGCAAGATTTCTAGGACACTGTGTCTGCGATGACGGTCGGTATTGAGCCGTTGCAAGTCGTCAAAATGTCCGTGTATCTGGGTAGTTGCGTGGGTTCTGCTGTAGGTGTGTGATGAAATTCCTAACCGCATATCGAACACCAGAGAAGTGTAAGCCAATCAGGACCACCTTTGCACCGTTGCGACATTAGTCTGACAGTAAGAGGTTGCAGTTAAGACGCCTTGGTGAAAGCAGTTATGCTCAACGCCTTCGAAACCTGGCCTTTCCGAGCTGTGGATAGATGACGTCTCTGTGTGTTTGATCATCATTATCTTCATTGGATTGCGTGTATCCGATGGCAACACCATTAAGATAATTCTGACAGCGTTTTTGGGCATGATGCAGATCGTCATTCAATAATTGAAGTCATCTGAAAACACCGGCTTCGATGAGTTCGACATGTGTTACGCATGTCATCGCAAAGGCTTCCATTCCGTTCACTGTTTGATAGTTCTGGGACTGGATGAAAGAAGCGTAGGGGTGGTCACTGTATGACGTGGTGCAGTGGGATGATGGATAGTTGTATCATGTAGACATCTTTTGGTGCATCACGACTCCCTGGATGGAGTTTCGAGAGATCACAACTCAGTTGCTTGTGTGGTTATCAGATGTGGCTCAGAGTCAAAACCAGTGGTGGTTATTCTGGAGCTTTCTTCTATCTTATGCTGCTGGAAATTTATGAACGTTTTACTTTGGGTAGATCATTCTACTCTTATCGTGTTTTTTTCCACTCCTTTACGCTTTACGTCTTCCAAATAGTGTTCTATTGTGCAGCACATTTCTGGGTGCTGTTGTTGTACCATGTTTATTCTCTGTTATTACTAATTATGAGACTCCAGTCATATACGGATTATTATGACCACCAACCGAAGGCTTATCCTTAGTACAAGTTCGGCTTCTATTCAGAATTCTTACTTTAACACTTCACTGATTCCCACCGACTTCTTGATATAGACCAAAAATAGTGTCTGAAACGTAATCCAGTAAATAAAACTGTTCCTTCACTATGTGATACATCTAATAAATCAACTGAAATAGAAGCACATTCTACTATAGTGCCCAAGTTTTAGTCTCATTTTCTGGTATTTAATGTCTTTGAGAATTGTCAATACATGAAAACATTTTAATCCAGAATGATACTCGCTCCGTTGCAAAGCTCTACGGCTACTTTTCTTCTGTTGTATACACAAATGTTGCAGTCCAAATACTTCGTGGCTTACTTTTCAATTTAACAATCGTTTCCTCTTTTATACTGATAGCTAAATTATTGCCGCATTCATACTCAAATTTTATCCTAATGTTATAAAAGATGGTGTTGAGCTTTCCAGACGATTCATGATAAAAAGCGCTGCAAGTATAGTCTAGGTCTTTAGGTGAATAACCATAATGCCTTTCATTCTCTTAATGAACTCATTTGCCTTTTTGTAATAAAAACAGTGTGGGCCGACTGACTGCGGGTCAGGCAGCATTATATACATAATATGATGTGATTCCATGATTATTGTCCATGATAATGGATTCGTTTATCGGCGCTCAAGTGAGTGATGTCTATCTTCAAGACAGAAACTGGATCAGTGGTAATCAAAAAGACTGAGGAACTTACTAGGCACTGACTCAACGCTGCATATGGAATCAATCAATCCCTCATGTCTAACCGATAGGCTGCTACGTTGACGTGGTGATTGGGTATGTATATGACAATTACTCAAGCAGCTACACTGACTGGGACGCTTGTTCCGTCGAGATCCTAACAAGTTAGAAAGATCTGTTGAATATTGGTAAAACGGAAAGCAGTTACCATTGTGGTGTAAATTGCTACGCTATGATTGGGTTCTGAGGGTGAAGTCTGGTTGATTGACATGTTACAGCAGTAAGGTGTTTCCCTCAGATGACCAGCAGTGCCGCGTTGATATTGCCTTCCCTACTGGAAGGGAGGATTCATTAAGGTCGCCCTCAAAGTGGCATACTCCTCCCTGCCGCACGGTCTTCCACTGCCAGCGTTTTGGGTTTCCTCTGTCGGGCGTTAGGACAGTCAAATGTCTCTCTGCTATGCCTTAAAGATTGACACTTGTTTAACACAATTATTCATTTGGTAAATAACCAGTTTTCATCCAAAGGAAAACAATATCGAAAGGATTTCGTTCTTTAAATATCTGGAGAACTTGTGGATTCTTGAATGTTTTTGAAAAAATTAATAATTATTTAGTGATTCACTGTTTCAACATTTTTAAAATTTATCTTTTAGCTTGAAAAAATGGAGTCGATAAAATGAACAGTGGTTATTCGATTCCAGTTGTTGGTCTTGGGACCTGGAATGTAGGTGGATATTTTGTAATCCTTTTTATTTTTTATGCGTGCAGAGTCCACCAGGGGAGGTTGGTTCGGCTGTGCAAAAGGCCTTAGAAGTTGGATATCGTCATATAGACTGTGCTTACATCTATAAAAATGAAGCCGAAGTCGGTGCAGCCTTAGAAGATGCAATGGAAAGTTTACAAATACGAAGAGATGAAATATTCATCACCTCTAAAGTGATCAATTGTATTTTATTTGTTTTACCGTTGTTATCATCAGTTGTGGCATACAGGACATCGTCCAGAAAATGTAAAGAAGTCATGTGAAGTATCTCTGAAAATTTACGTTTGGACTATCTCGATTTATACTTAATTCATTTCCCCGTTTCTTTTCAGGTAAGCATTTGTTTTTGCAGTATTACTTCTAGTTTCCTGTCGTTGATTGGACCGAATTGGCCGGTCTCTATTGGCACATTAAGTCCCTGCGTGGATGCCTCGATAGTGCCTATAGTTTCAGTTTGAGAGTAAAGATGGATAGTGTCTAGAAGTGGAATCCAGGACCCATGTTTCGTCCTATCTGGGACTTGTCAGGCGGACGTAGCTGTCTCACATTGAGTGATGTGATTACCACTAAGACTCGAACCCAGGACTGATCGCTTCAAACGCCAGAGCGTGATCCACTAAACTGTTGAATCATAATGTCCTCTTCTGGCGTGACGACTTTGGTTTTGATGTTATACATTGTCATCAAAATGAAACTATCGATAATATTAAGGTATTCTAGCAGGAGCCTATACTGCTTGTGACTGGTCAGTTAGTTTCAATTAATGACGGGAAATTACAAGCAATAACATAAAAAGCCATATCCACTCACTGAGAGCGACGTAAATCTAGCTGATGAGTCCCAAGCAGGGCGAAATGTGCGTACTACACTGCTATCTGGTACCCATCATTACTACTAATCATTCATTTGTTTCTTTTGTGGAGATGCGATATCTTTTGAAGAGCCAGTGGAATCTACAAAGTTATGCATAGTAGCTGATTGTTCAGTACCGTCCAATAATGTGCTTGTGTTATCCTCTTCAAGGTCAAAATGGAATCTGAAAAATAATTGCACTGTCGTGTATAAATATATTTTCACGCTAGAATAGTGTCTACCCAACACTTAATTCTTATCTTCACTGGCTAAAGTGACCTAGTGAATAATAATAATAATAATAATAATAATAATAATAATAATAATAATAATAATAATAATAATAATAATAATAATAATCGATAATACGCGAACGATGCTAGTGTAGGATAAATTTTCCAATAAGGTGTTTCTTGACTACACAGTAACGTGGAACAAAAATTGAAATTCCAAACTCCTACCTTAGCGGCTGATGATGACATTGATTTCCAATTAGGCCACTTCGTATCACCTGCTCTGTAACTGATCTCGTTACGCTGTGTAATTTTTTGAAACTTGGATCTGATTTTTTTGTCCGTTTGTTTCGTTTTATAGGCGGGTGCAGCTGACTTTCCTACTGATAAAGATAATAACCCTGCTTTCGATGTAGTCCCACTTGAAGATACCTGGAAGGTTAGTGCACATTTTTTGCACTGCTGTTGCTGTATAAAAAATATGCTGCGATTTATATCAGCTTAGTTGTATCAAGTTCACCAAAGTGACATATTCAGTCACATTCGCGTAAATGTATACAACCTTTTTCATTTTCGAACTGTTAGATATTTGCACTAATGTTCATCCAATTTCATACCCTCTCCTCTCATGCACTTTCGTGTCCTGCGTTTTCTACTATGATCTTCTGCATATGCCGCTGTGAAGTTTGGCAACTTGGACCGATGCTTTTTTTCCTAGGTTCTACGTTTATTCAGCTTTCTGTCTATCTGTCTGTCTATTTCAACCATAACGATCCCATTAGTCTGGTTAAATTTAAATTGGGTAGATTGAGCATAAACCTGCAACCCAGTCAGTAATATTCAAGTTTCTGCACAACTCTACCGCCCCTACATATATATCAGTACCTAATGGTTGACTCAATCTTTTTGAATTATTCCAGGTTTGATTTTGCCCCATTAGCATCTGTTATCAATAATTGGCCGTCTAAATCTTTGTTTTGTTTGATAAACTGCTAAAAATCTTCCTTCTTTTTTAGATGAGATAAATTTATTTCGCTACTCAAAATCACCTAAATTCAAACAGATTAATTGTATAATTAGTATTAAATCATGTCCTTTAGGAAATATGTTTCCTACCACTGATTTCTGATAAAAGTGTAACATGAAAGTCACTCTTTCATCACTGGAACTGAATTGTTAAGAGCTTCATGCAGTTGAAAACCCTGATTTCAAACCATCTAGTGGTATTTTCCACATGTCAAGATTAATATGTGACCTGAGAGCTGCTACCTTGATGTGATGATCTAGCTTGCCTATTGGCTTGACGCAACCAGCTGTACTGTCCGAAACGATTGTTCATTCAGGTTTTAACTCACAGAAAGGTCAGATGGATGGAAATAAAACATAGCAGTTACATTCAAAGTGTAAATGGCTTACACTGGGGCAGGGATTCGAGACCAAAGTCGTACTACTGGTTGTTTAGGGTGTGATAGCAATAAGGTTTCTTCCGTGGATAGGCAGTAGTCTATGTTTACTCTGCCTCACTTTATCAGCAGGAGTAGGAGGAAACGTTCATCATGAAAATAACATACTCTTCCCCTGCTCTACAATCTCCCTGGCATTTCTTTCCCGAATCAAATACAACCAATTCCAAGTTGGAAACTATCCAAAAAGACATGTGACCACCCTTAATCAGATATTCCTTTGACTCTGTAGTCAAATATTCACATTGGGAAAACCATTCCGACTAATTCACTTTTCAAAAGGTTCGAAGTAATGGAACCCTCCATGGTGTGGACAACTGAGGTGTTAACTGCCTAAATATCACTTTCAGCATTCCATTCACTTCGGTTCACCCTAAGCCTTCTACATAGTTACCTTCAAAACCGCAACATTTCTCCTGACAATTCTATATTGTCTATAAGTTCTTCCATTCCTGCACCTTAGAGTAACAACTCGCGTCCACAAAATAGCATCCTTGCTTTCCTGAAACCTGAAACTACACATTTTGGATATATAGAAGCATACCGTTACTTTTAGTTATCAAGCACACTGAATTAAAACTGTAGTGGCGAAATAATTGGTCCACGACTCACTCACAAGGGAGACGACTTGAACGACTGGTAGGACACTTCGGTGAACTGTTCAACTGGCGTCCAACTACTGTGCTGTCACCTATTATCCAGTCATATCATGGATACAATATTGAGATAAGGCCTTCAACTCTCGCAGAAGTTACGAGGGTTGCAGGTAACCTGGAATGAGGGAGGGATGCATGCCCTGATGGACTTGCCCCAGAAATATTTAGGAATGGTGATTGAAGATTTCTGACTAAAGTGACCTAAGTGTGCGCTGACTTAGGGGAATCATGAATGATTCCATGTGACTAGTCTCATTCACTCACTGTCAGCCTTCAAGAATGAGGCGAAATTTTCTTGAACCCACCACTGGGGAATCAGCTTGATAAACGTGGTGTCTAAAATTTAAATAGAGTAACCATTCGATGCTTAACTGGAGCTTGAGAATAGCATACCCGAAAAGGGTTTTCATACCCGGTTGTGAGTGTGTCGACAAGGTCTTCATTGTGAGCCAAATCTCAGAAGAAAGGCACATTTATGGGTGCACTAAATCAGCTGTATTTCTTGACCTGAAGGTAGCATTGGAAGGGTTTGCTGTGGAGATTGTGTCCACTGTTTACATAACTCCACCATCAATGTGCTCATTGAAGTCTTCGAGTTGTCGTCTGATCCCAATGGATTTGTGTCGTTGTAAGAGACATCTCATTTGACGATATAGTTCTGCTAGGAAGACGACAAGACGCAGTCTTCTGAAGTCATTGTGTGAAAATATGACTTTTTAGGATCCTTCCGTCACCTTAAAAAGGAAATAATTGCCTCAGGATTCTTGTGTGTTTATCTTTCGTTGGATAGTAGAGAAAGAGAGTGAAGTGATTGAGCTCATTGACCGCTTGTCTTGGCGGCTGTCAAAAAGTGCTCACAAGTGCAAAAGTCTCAATTTTTTCGAGATACGCCACCTATAGGAATGCCAAGATATCCGATTACGTACTAGGAGCTGAATGCATTGCGTAGCTATTGACTCTTTCTGCCATATGGCTATCAAACATAACCTTGTAGAGTAGAGGGCATGAGAAGGCTCCAGCTGTTCAGCTATGATTGCCTTCATATCGCTGATCGTGAGTTGTGAAACTACCACAGTAATTTCGTCGTTAGTCATGTAGTCTTAGGTAAAAGAGCGAATTCCTTTAATGGGGTCTTAAAGTCGTATCGACTCTGATAGGTGCAACATGTCACACATACCTAGTCACTGTCTACCCCGACGCGTAATGTCAGCTCAAGTAGGTTTAGGTTCGATAAAGGTTAAAGGGATCAGTACATAGAGTCTTTGATGCTTGTTGGTACCGTATAGAGGGACGTGGACCTTGAGTTCCTCTTGACAACCGAAATCGTGGGTTAGAAACAATGAGTAACGTGGCTCGAATCGATCTTAATGGTGCAGGTGTATCCATACATTGTATTCATATGACATTTCGTTACTTATTTTACTCTCTCTTCTTTTTTATCGCTTTCTGTGACATGATTTCTTCAATTCTTTCGGTCTGTCTTTTATTTTGCTGCCTCATATCTGGGTGTACTGATGTGCTATGTGACAAATTTGACCGCTGAACAATGTCGATAGGTCCCGTTTTAACACTGACTGATTGAATTATAGAATTAGGCAGGTTGAGCACTACATATATGACTCATAATACAAATATATTTGTGAAATCGTGATAAGGAAGAAGGGCGAATTTCCGTCATTTAACCATCTGTTGAAAGCTGTACATACATGGGATCACAGTTTGATCATCCATCATCCATCCAAGTCAACAAAAAACCAGGCATTATTGCGTAACGGTCCGAGTTGCCACAGCTCATATCACTACATCAAGGAAGAGGCCTTGAAGTGGAAGGTGAAGAAAAGAAAATTCATTCAAAGAAATATAAAGTACTAAAAGAAAGAAGGGAAGAATAAGAAAATGGTGAGATTCGGTATGGTGTCGTTAAGATGAGGATAATGTGTGTATACATGTGCGCCAATGACATCGGTTCTGAGCCATATCCCCTAGATTCAGTCTCCAACAACTAATTTCTCTTGTTCCACGGACCCCAATCACCCAGTCTACATCACCCCACATGGCTCAAACCAACAGTCAGAGACTTCATACATTGATGCCATATTTTAGTCTGGCATCGAGCCTCGAACCATTTTCCAGCCTGAACCTACTTCGGCCAACATTGTGTGATGACGCAGACGGCGACTTGGCATACGCAGCGTGTCCCAACCATCTCAGTCGATGAAGGTTCACAACCATGTCAACTGACTTATCTCTTCTCCCTAGAACTCTACACCTGAGTCTGACTTCTGTGTTACTCATGTGGTGACACCACGGAATACGGCCTATACTACGAGGGGAACGGTGGTCAAACACCTGAAGCCAGCTGTCTCATGTCTTCCACCTTCAATGGCCATGTTTCACAGGCATACAGTAGAACAGAGCGGACTGCTGTGCAGTACATGCGACACTTAGTGGACAATCGGATATCACGGTGGCACCGTAGGTGGCGTAAGTTGGCGAAAGCCAATCGAGCCTTTTGTATTCGTGCAAAGATTTCATCTGCCACTGAGCTAGCCACCAGGGCAGGGCTGATCCCACTTCCCAGGTAAGTGAAGTGGTCGACACACTCAACCACTACACTCTGTATTGTTAGCCATGGCACCGTTGAAGACCGATCCTGGGACAGCAATTTGCATTTGGTGATGGTGATGGTGGTGAGAAACGCATTCCAAACATTCTCAGTTTGCCACTCAAAGTGTCCAGAAGACTCTGCATCTTGTCAGCTTCTTCACTCAACAGGACTTTGTCATGTGCATATTCTAGGTCTAACGAAAGTTCTCCTGCGATTAGGTCAACCTCTGTGTAATTAGGTGACGAGAGGGAGACCTCCATAAGAAAATGTATGATAAAATTGAATAGGAATGGAGATAGTGGGCATCGTTGACGGACACCACTCGATGAGCACAGCTCCCTGGATATCTCACTATAGGCTCTAAAAAAGCACACAAGTTTTCGAGTAGAGAGCCATCAATAAGGCAACGTACTTGCTCAGCACGTCTTTCAGTGAGACATCGTCATAAGACTTCTCGATCAACGGAGTCGAATGCCGCTGCCTTCAGATCGAGAAATACAGCTATTGTTGGGCGTCGGTAAGCATGTCTGTGTTTCAAAACCTGGTACAGTGTGAATATTTAGTGGATACACACTTGCAAGTGAATAGCAGACCCGTCCTTCTCCGCTGTAGTCTCACTAACCTTTTGTTTCCCTTTTTCCTCAGGCCTCTTAATAAGTATAAATAACCGTCTACTGTTACCAATCGCCGCCGCCTTTTCGATATCCCTTTAGCCTTCGCTGCCCATCACTGTTCGTGGTCCGTTTAGACTTTTTCTCATTATGATTTTAAGTTGTGCTCGCTCTTCACTGTACTCAGAGCCTGCAGGCAGGGATGCGTTCACGTGCATCCATTAGTTCGGAAGAAGCTGCTGATATCCATTGGCTCTTTTTAGCCACTCTTTTGGAGTCGGCTACGGTCTTCAGTGCTGGTTTTAGAGCAGAGTGGAGACGGTACCAAGCTTCGTCTGGATGATTGATGGCGTTTTGTTCCGATAATTGCCTAGCCAATTTTCCATTGAATGCGGTTTCGATATTTTCGTTGTCCAGCAGCACTCGTGGTGGTTTTGTTGCCAACGCGTGGTTGCTACCTCAACACGTACTCTAGAAGAAGTGGCAGTCTTCCACCGATCCTCTCTAACGATAACTAATAGCAATGTGGTCTATCTGCGTCCGTCGCTGAGTTAATTGAGCTCGGTGGACGCCATGTCAGACAACGTCTTTTTTTATGTTTCATATTTGTGCTAACTAAAAAAAGGCAGTTATCTTAGCTAAATTATAGTAGACGATCACCGTTATCTGTTCGTTCAGCCGGGATTCCGAAGGTGCCACGTAAGTGGCTTTTTGCCTTGTTCAGTCTACCCACCTGTGCATTGAAGTCACCTGCGACAACCATGTGGGTCTGAACATTTGGCTTTCGAGAGGAGGCTAGACAGTTTTCGGTAGAACTCGTCCTTCACTTCATCTGCACTGCAGTCAATGGGTGCGTAAGTACAGATTGCTGAGAGAAAATGACAAGTCTCACTATTGCTTTTAGTTCTCATCGTGCCGTTCAGCCGGACATCGCAGAGGCGACTATCTACTGGGATCCAGTCTGTTAGTGAGTTTCCTGGCCTAGTGCGTAATGCTATGCCTACACCTGCAAGACTGCGAGAGCTAGCGATGGAATCTCTAAAAACTGGAAGGGTAGATTTTGCGGATTCATCAGACTGTTCAGGAGAGGTTAGGTGTGAATAACCGCACTTGGGTCCTGTATGCGTGTCTCACAAACACAGCACACATCCATGGTCCGATTTACTATAGTCTTTGGCAATGAAGCCTGTTGACCAATTTGTCTTGCTTATTCTTCCTTCCTATCACCAACTTCTTTGAAGCTTTTCAACTTGATATTGAAGGCCGGTTCTTTGCAGTATATAGTGAGTTGAGTTGTGTGAACCTACAGCTGCTCCTCTTCTTGATCTGATCTTGTGTCCAGTAGTCTGCTTCTCCACTCTCTTCACATTAAGATGAAGTCGATCTGATTTTAGTGTGTCCATCTGAAGAAATCAAATCCATGTTACTTTGTGAATTTCCTTGTGTTTGTACGCACTGCCTCCAATCAACAAATCGTTGTGTGCGCAGAAATCTGCAAACAGTTCTTTATTCTCATTCATTTTATCGAGTCTTTCTCAGCCCATGATCAGTTCTCTTCCCGTGTTGTTCACTCCCAGTATGGAAGTCATGTCACTCATAAGTATGAATTTTGATGTCGCCATCTGGGGTAGGATCTTGTGTAGTACTGATTGCAGTTGTCTGTAGAACTCCTCCTTCTTTTCTTGATCCGCATTATTTGTTGGCGCGTAGCATTGTATGATTATTACTTTCCTTCCTTTTGATTTGAATCTTGCTGTCATGGTCCTGATCCTGCAGGAGGAGACTGGTTCCTCCCGCAGGAGAGCCTTCGATGGTCTTAGAGACATTTTGATAGCCACTCGAAAACTCAGTGTGTTGGTGGTTGTCGTCTGGGTGACAGTATCGGAGTAGATTATTGACTCTCCAGTCAAGAGTTTGTAGAGTCCACTTCTATTCCATCTGCTTTCGCAGATTCCAAGCACTTCTGTGCCATAGCTTCTCATCTCTTTTGCAATCTGGGCAGCCTTGTTAGGTTTATATATGGTACAGTCATTCCACGTCCCCATCTATACTTTCGCTTTCATCGAGAGAAGACACATGGGGCAGTCGACTTCCTGAAGGCTTTCACCAACCGGCGTCATTTCATCTCTCTGATTCCAGCGAGGAATAAGTTTATTTTCATTTTTTATATTTTCTTTGTGCTTTGAAGTTTTCTTAGCGATTTGATTGGTTTTCCTGGGTAGGGTTGCTAGCCGTATGCCCAACCTTCTCTTTTTATCCGGCTTAGGACCGGCTAGTAACTAGTGCACTAGTTAACCAGTCGAGGTTGGTTTTGTGTGAGGCTCCATGTTAATTTTGTCTCTCTGACTTACATCAAACGTTTTTATAAACCTTTTTCAAAATTAATGAAGACTGAAAAACGAATGAAAACTAAGTAAATGATTCGCCTGCACCATTGACGTCTGTGTTTAACCACCTGGCGACTACTTATTGATTACCTTTATGCACGTTTTCATTCCATATCACTGAAGTAACAATGGGGTATAAGCGTGTTATAATTTATTTCTAATTTCTCGGGTTAGCTGCACCTTTGTCGTCTGTATTTCATGTAACTGAACATTATTGCATTCGAAAAGAGGCTGACATTCTTTTATCATATATGATCTAACCTTTCAAATGCATGAAGACTGGACATTTTATCCATAGGCTTATTTATTATCGTAAAATATGGAACAGACGACCGGAGTCTATGGGAGGTTGTTTAAGTCCCAAGTGATAACTGCAATTTTTATGATATAGCTTGCAAGACTCCAGTCTTGGTTAGACCGAGTTGATCAGCCCCTACTGCTTTATGGGTTCCCTTGTAGGTCCCTCAATACCCTCGGTAGGTAACGCAAGTCCTGTATTCCACTACTATTCTATAGCCACCATTTATAACTACAATGTTTCAATAATATTAGCTTTTGTCTAGCTGTGTTAACTAAGTGTACCTGATTTGTCGCTAGTAAATTCATGACATCTGTATTGTTTCGACAGTTAAACATCGAAGTTTGTGTGTTGCGAATCACTCTGACTTTAATATTGCACAATGCAGTAGTTACTATCTAGTTTTTCGAACTTAATGTTTACCTGATAGATATTTAATTCACTGTTTCAACTGACTTATCGGAAACTTTAGCTGCTTCGGGGTTGTAAGTACGCTTTGCTAACTAACTACCATGTAGGACATAAATCCAGTTTGTGTCATAAATAGTTGATATTTTCTGTGTACATAAAGCAGAAATATTATGACAGAATATTCCGTCAATTCGTCATTTCATCTACTGGTATTTTGTTTCGAAGCTTGGTAGTCAAGTATGACCATGTATTTGTCATCTATACTTTTTTATAAGCCTATATTCTTTCTTGCCTGCTACGATTAGGACTTATTTATTGTATGTTCACATCTTTGACTGTAGATGATGCCTGAAATTGCTTGCACTTATGTAAACTAAGTTAATGGTTTGCATTCACCTGTATTGAATATAAAGTCTCTTTTTCCGTCTGTAATAAAAAAAATCAGGTTGTCGGCGCATGCGACTCTGCCACCACTCATGTCCATGCATTATGCTATAAATAAAACTTGTAGTCAAAGGTCTGATAGTACTACCTGACTGTTCACACTTCATCAGATGCAGTTGGGTGGGATACTGTGACCCATCGGTTAAAATGTGAGTGCCAAATTTCCTAACGACTATATTGTAGAATACGTTATCGTCATTACTATTGGATTCCAGTATATAGTTTGCTTTCTTTTAGTATAGTCGTCATCATCAGTTGACACCAGTCGGATAAATATTACAAGTCTGGGACGGTTGAACAGTTGCTCCGTCCTACATCGGAAGTCTTCAGCAGTGCGTTGCTAATGACCCTACGAAGGATTGAGCCCAGGACTGTCACTGCCGAAGATTCCCAAAATAGAACGAAATAGCGGTTCAGGGCTCCAAAAATTTGAATGCTTCTGGAACTAATATCAGTCCTTGGTAAATCGTACATTGGGACTTATTAATTCTCACAGATCATCAACTGAATAACTTTTCATAAGCCTTGATTATTGAATAATTAGAACCAGTATAAATTCTAAATGGAATGAGTTTAAGTGCTTATAATAGCTTGTCGAAACTTATCGAGAGGATATCTTGTCGACAGTTTCTATTGTATTGTAGTCTATTTGATGGCTAGCAGTTGAATCCATTTTAGGATTTGTCAGGTGGATGTACCTGCCTCTCAGTGAATTATGTTGTCCCCCACTCAGACTCGATCCCAGTACTGATTGTTTCAAACGCCAAAGCGTTATCCACTAGGCCACTGGGGCACAAGGGTTATCACTTGTGCGATTCGACCCAGTACAGCAAAGGAAAATTACAAGTATCAATAAACAGTTTCTGTTGCATCTTAATTGGAAGTGTTGCTGATCGATTCGTAAAGGATTACTTGGCTCCTTTGAGTTCTTCACCATCTCTTCAAAATTTCTTGTTCTCGCTGTTCGTTTTGATTTTCTTCTCTAAAATGTGATGTCACTTTCATTGAATATTCTAATGTTTACACTACACACTAATTTTTTTTTTATTTTCTCAAGGCAATGGAGAAGCTGGTTGACGAAGGCTTGGTTAAATCTATCGGTTTATCAAATTTTAATAAACGACAAATTGAAACTATTCTGAAACACTGTTGTATTGAACCAGCTAATTTACAAGTTGAAATTCATGCAAATTTTCCGAATACCAAATTAGTTGAATATGCTCAGTCTATTGGTTTAACTGTGACTGCTTATGCTCCACTGGGTTCACCGGCTCGTTCACCGTGAGTCATTTATGCTTAATATTCTCTCTACATATTTCATAATGCATTATAAACCTTCCTCTCACAAACCAATGTAACCAGAGTGATAAGACTTGTTAGCGTCATCAGTTCTGCTGTTTCATTATAGGTAGATAGGTGATAGTAAGTGTGTATCTTTTTTGTTGATTGCAGTAAATGGGGACAACAGGTAAGTGCGTTTTTTACTCGACAAACATTTCAAGCAACAGCCATTTCTTACTTTTTATAATAGAGAATGATGAATGTTGACTTCTGAAATTGTGTATTTCCTCTCGCTTGCATCATCCTGCTCTACAGACTGTTGAAAACTACTAATATTTCGCACCGATACGACCTCGAACACCAGAAAGTAAGTCATTTTAGAAAGTGCGAACAATAAGTCTTACAGAATGAAGTTAATTCATTATGTTTCATTAACTTTCTTTCAACTGCTTATAGGTAGTAGTACCCTAGAAACTGAGAGCAAAAACATCCACTGGTGAGAAAAAGGATTATAAGTGGTACAGATTAAGAAGTCTTAGTGGGGGGAAATTATGGACAGTTGTTTGGTGTTCTCAGACCTTTGGAATTTTTTCTTGGAAGCCTAATCAGCAAGCTAGGCGAATCCATTAGAATTTTCTTCATAAATCAAAGCTATTGAATGTTTATTCCATCAAGGGGTTCTTTTAATACATTTGAAACATTCAAAAATGGACTGAAGAAAATAAGGTTAGTGTCTATGTGTGTGTTGTAGGTTGAGACTGAAATGGCCTCCTCCGTTGGTCCTTCCTACATGCCTTCTCTGCCATGCACACATGAATCTCTGGTTACAATTTCAGGTGATATTTCACCGTCACTTCATTAAATATATGTGTGTAAGCCACTGTGGTCGGATGTTTACAATCTATTGAATTTAGGTACGAAGAGATGACGCAGCCAACATAGCAACTCCCTTCTTTTATAACTCGGTTGTGGCTAGCAGAGGATTTTAGGATGCATATTTCGTCCCACGTCGGACCCGTCAAGTGAATATATTTGCACCCAAGTGAGTGGTGTTATTCCCTCTGGGACTTGAACCCAGTACCGATCGCTTGGGACGTCAAAGCATCAGCCACTAGACCAATGAGGCATAACAACAGTCTCTTGTACAAAAGGTTGTTAGTTATCACTATTTGTCGAGTCCCCAAGTTAGTCATAAAAACAAATATTCAGGCAATATTGAGGCATCCGGATAGGATCCCATTTGCCAACAGGGGTTGATCACTTCGATCCAGTGTAACAACGAAGAACCACAAGTATCAACAAGTAATGATAGCTAATACTCGTTGTACGAGAGATGATTGTAGTGCCTCAGTGGCCTAGTGAGTAACTCTTTGGTATTTCAAGAGATCGGTACTACGTTTGAGTATCAATGGGAACAACAATCACTGGGATGCAGGTAAAGTCAGCTAGCGAGTGAGTCACAAGTAAGACAAAACGCGTGCCATGGATTTCGCTGCTACCCACAATCGAGTCAATCATAAACTGTATGCGTTCAGAGAATTCGAGACTATAGTAGTAGACGTCTTCGTATTACCCCTCTTTGTTCATCAAAAAGCTATTTTTAAAAAGTGAGTAATTTGACTCATATAAAATCAGTCTGAGTTTATTCAGTGAAACGTTATTTCAGTAAGATGTACTATTTATGGCATTGAATTAGCCGGTTCAAACCTGTTTGCATTCCTGATCAGATTTCAACTTAGGCGTCGATTGACTCCTCAGCTTTGCACTTTTTACTCACCTTTATTGTAATGGAAATTGCTAAATAAACACTGACAAGCAGAATATAATTTTTATTTAGTTCAGTAGTTTTTGTGCATATATGTTGTGTATTAAGGTCATGGTGCAATGTACGCTACCTAAAAATACGTTTTCACTTTAGGCCGCTTTATGTAGTATAGTGAAAATGAAGTGATAATCAGATTATCCTGTTAGTCCACGGTATGATTAGTGAAAGGTAAAGAGATTACTAAAATAATCAGCTTCATATTATCAGCATTTTCGTTCATTATTATTTTTAACACCAGTTGCATACTGTACTATTGACCTAGACAACGTATTGTATCACGTTTATTTGGTGATTATAACCATGTAGGTGAAAAATGTTCTCAACTCTTCTCACATTATAGATGGTAGTGCCGTGATTGTTAACTTTCTATTGAAATCAAAATCTGGGCCATGGCAAGATTCGAAACAGTAACCATTGGATTTCTGACGTGGTGCTCTACTAACTGAGCTACGACACCCGACTTTTGACCAGATTTTTATTTCATTTCAATCACCAAGGGTTTTGCCCAACTGCCATGTGAATTCATGACACGTTACTATCGTACTCACACTGGCTACCCAGCTAAGACTTCTCATCCCAGTCCAAATCTACTTCTATTAAAGAGAGGTAGCATAGTATAGATTATCAGTTTGACTATGTAGTGATTGTTAAAACTGGGAGTAGTACTTTCACCAAATACTTACTAGATGGTAAGTACTAGGTGACAATAGAACTTTTTCGACTGTGTACATTGTAGCCGTCAGTTATCATCACTTTGAATATAATTGTTACCATTGGCACTCAAAATATTCATCATAAACCCACACCATTTAGAGAACTGTTGGATACCTCGGAGAACTGGGCTGCCGTCTCTCCTAGTACGGGACTCCTTAGAGATGCACACCGATAACTGCTAGGGATTGAATCCAGAAACGTTCCGCGGTGACAACCTGACCATTGAGCCACTCGGTTGGAATCCAATGGCCCACATTTTCCTACTGCTATCAGTTTGTGATATAGCGCGACCTTCATTCAGTGCCATCGTTGGGTATCTATCCTCACGCGTGACTTGGTTTGCCCTAGCGATGCCACTCCTCATTAGAACTTCAGGAAATTTCATCTCGAAGTAATTAAGCACTGGACAACGGTTTAGTTTCTGAGGTTTGTGGAAATTTAGGCATACTGCAATAAAACGGTTGTCCAGTGCTCCCAGGATTTCCGTGACCCGCCAGCTGATGTCAGTTCGTGATGAGTACTAACGTGAAATATGTCATTAATTGTGAATTTAAAGAATGAAATACAGTGATGAGGAGGACTTCCAATTTCATTACTTGATCAGCACATAACTGAAGCCTGGTTACTAAGACTGCTCAGTGCAAAAAATGCCGGAGCATTGGAAGCAGAAATCCAATCAACATATATTCCACTTGCTGAGCCACCACCTACTTTGATGTGCTATAGCAGGAGAGGTTGAATTCGGTGGTAAGAAGGTTCAAATTGGCTAGACCAAGACGTGGCATCGATCGACGAAGTCTTTGACTGTTGGTGTGAGCTGTGTGGTGGGATGTAGACTGCCGGGCTGGGGTTCCTGAGAGGATAGGAATCAGCGGTTTGAAGACTCTTCATTACATGGCTGAAAATCGGTCACAATGGCAGGGATATATTCCTTCTTTGACATCTTCTTAGCCTTGAATATTTGCGCTAGCCTTCACACAACTTTATCTAGTTTGATATGAGTCTTTTTTCTATCTACCTGTTGTTTGTGTACTATTGTGAAGTGGGGCGACTTGAGCCGATGTACCTGTGTGTGAGGTTTTGCGTTGATTTTGTCTGTCTATAGTGATAGCACAAATGTCTCGCCTTTTGTAGCTTGCTGTGAATGTTGAAAGTCCCATCATATTAGTGTGGTTCGTCTTCCTAGTTAACCATACGCTTGCTGACGCTTTCTCGGCGGGGATTCAATGAACGCGATTACATGTTCTTTGATTCACCTAATCGAGTATTGATAAACATTTTTTTATGCTCTATACGTATTAAATTACTGGGTGATTAAGTTCACTTTATGTCTTAATTTTATATTACAGTAAATCTGAAAATTTGTTAACTGAACCGTGGGTTACTAAATCGCTGAAAAACACGTAAAGACACCTGCACAAGTTTTGTTGCGTTATCTACTTCAACGTGGATTAATAGTTGTGCCAAAGTCAGTTACTGCTGAAAGGATTAAAGAAAATTTTCAGGTTTGTGTGACTGAAGTGAAGTCGGTTTTCTCTTTCTCATTTGTTTGATCCTACTTATTGGTTATCAACATCACAATTACTCAGTACCTAGTCATGTGCAGTCATTTACTAACCATGTGGTTTTGCGTGATATTTCATCATTATGAGTGAAAGTCACGAAATCGTTTCCAATGTTTAGTTCATCTTTCCTTACGGTATATTTTTTCTCATATTTGTGAATTACACTCAACGCTCAGTTCATGAGTGAGTTGAAAAAGCCCTAGATAAACTATTGGAATTATCCAAAAAAGCTATCAGTCTTCATGACTTCAGGTGTGCTGATGAGCTGTTTTTTCTTCTTGAAAGTTCACGTTGTGTAAAATACAAAAGGTTACGGAGATACTAATAAATATCAACAGTCCTCAACATAAGTACTTGACGTTCACCATACCTTTAATCGTTTACTTGCCTTTCCAAGAATCTTTAAACTTCAAATTTTATCGTACTGTTGGTGTTGATAGCCTTTACTAATTTTTATATAGGAGTAAAACTTGAGCACTGTGGTAGATTAAAAATCCAATTTAGTCTGTTTCTCAACTATGTAACACAGTGAAACAGTATTATTTACTCAACAACGTTTCGGACACAATTTATTGTCCGTATTCATTCATATCACGTACTCCAGAACTTTGAGACAGCTTATGTATTCTAATTTTCTCTCCTTTGTGATGACAAGGGTAGTAGAATTTTCCATTTATCTGGGACAGGTGCAGAATTCCTTCTGTTACATGCATTTGGTGTTGATTCGATAAACAAAGATTCGGTTATCAATCTCTCACTCCAACTAACTAAGTTAGTTTTTAGTGTTGTATCTCTATCCCACTCAACTGTGTGTAATTGCATATAGAGCTATGGTCGAGGTTTTTTTCTAAATTCCTTATTTTATTAGGATCTACTGATCTTGATTTAGCTAAGTTTTTCTGTTCTGTTATTCTGATCGCCCCTGGTTGACTACTTTGACTTCGTAATCATTGCAAGGGATTTAGTAATCCAGATTATTGTGCTTGATTGCATCAGTAGTTGTAATGAACAAATCTGACTACATCTACAAAGTGAATGAGCATGTAGAAACAGGACCATATGAAGAAATTAAGAAATCAGTGGATACCATAATTAATGAGGTTAAGAAATCGACAAGGGATCTGGTACACCAGACGAAGCCGTTTTTAGTTGTCATAGTTGTTTAACTTGATGCCGAAAACTAATAATCCCAATAGAATGTATGGTATTATTAAGATTCATAAGCCAGGCTTATGGCAGATTTTAGAAACGCTTCAACTTACTAGTTGTCTAAATATTTAGCAATGGTGCTAGGCCCAGTAAGAAATTACTCAAAATCTCGGCATACTAACTCCTATGACTTAAAGCATAGATTAGATGACAACGAAAAAATGATTATTTTTGACATAACTAGCCTTTACACGAATACACCGATCGATATGACTCTGGAGGCAGTAAGAAATGGGCTTTAGGATGACAAGGAAATTACGCATCGAATTAAGTTGCGATCGAGGAAATCATGCTAGGAGTACGATTGTGCTTAACACCTATAGTTTTTAAGTTTCGAAATAAAATATATATAAACAAACTGAAAGGGTTGCTATGGGATCGCTAATGTCCCCTATCGTCAGAGATATATTTATGGATAGTTGAGAACAGATGGCCCTTCAAGCATTTACTCCTGCTCGAAAGGTGTGGGTCCGTTATATAGGTGATACGTTTATAATACTGGAATCGGAACACATGGATAGGTTGTTGGGAAATATGAATTCAGTAGTTAGTGTACACCGATTTACCTGTGACTTATAAAGTGATGAAGCTGAGCCAGCAAGATTAAACGAACACAAGACAGGAGTTTAGACACTAGTGTCTACAGGAAATCTCCCCGTTCGAATCGCCACTTAGAGTTCAAATCCTCCACACCCCATCTTAGGTAAACTAGGCTTAATTTAATGCCTAGGTGATAGGGCAGTAAAGCTTACTAGTAAACCAGAAAATCTATGACAAGAAATTTAACACATCAAGAATACGTTGCATCTCAATAATTACCCGTCTTAATTTATAAGTAAATTCATAAGAAACCGAAAAAAGAATATTAGCAGTGGTAGTAGTAGCAATACAAGTGTTATTCATAATAATTCTACTACTAATGATTATAATGGTGACAGGGTTGAGAAAGAAATCAAAGTCTTCGCTCTGTTACCATACAAGGAAGGCACCTCAGAAGCATTACGAAGAATTCTCAAACTCGCTTTGAAAAAAAGTTTTGTATATTAAAAGATCCCAGTGATCCAACTAGGCAAAATAATCTGGCTTACCAAATCTCTTGCAATGATTGCGAGGTCAAATACATAGGTCAAAGTAGTGGACCAGGGTCGATTAGAATAACAGAGCACAAAAACTTAGCTAAATCAAGATTAGCAGATCCTAATAATATAAATAAATTATACTGGGTTATGAGTGAAGGTAACCTCCCCTGGTTAACTAGTTCACTAGTTACTAGCCGGTCCTAAGCCTGGATAAAGAGGGAAGGTTGAGCATAGGGCTAGCAACCCTACCCCGTAAAACAAATCCAACCGCTAAACAAACTTCAAAGCACAAACAAAATATAAAAAATAATAACAAAATTATCCCTCGCTGGGATCGGAGAGACGAAATGACGCCGGTTGGTGAAAGCCTTCGGGAAGCCAATTGGCCCATGTGTCTGTGCTTCTCTCGATGAAAGCGAAAGTAAGAGTAGGGACATGGAATGTCCACACCATGTTTGAACCCAGCAAGGCAGCCCAGATTGCAAACGAGATGAAGAGGTATCACACTGAAGTGCTTGGAATTTGCGAAAGCAGATGGAATGGGAGTGGACTCTCCAAACTGTCAATTGGAGAATCAATAATCTACTCCGATATTGTCACCCGGACGACAACCACGAGCACACTGAGTTTTCGAGTGGCTATCATGATGTCCCCAAGAGCATCGAAGGCTCTCATGCAGTGGGAACCAATCTCCTCCAGGATCATAACAGCGAGGTTCAACTCAAAAGGAACGAAGGTCACAATCATACAATGCAACGCTATGCACCTACAAATGATGCAGGGCAAGAGAAAAAGGAGGAATTCTACAGACAACTGCAACCAACACTGGACAAGGCCTCAGTTGGCTATATCAAAATTCTAATGGGTGGGGTAACATGAATGCCAAACTGGAAGGGGACAACACAGGAAGGGAACTAACCATAGGTCGAGAAGCGCTCGGTGAGGTGATGAACGAGAATGGAGAATTGTTTGCAGAATTCCGTGCATTCAACGATTTGGTGATTGGAGTGGGGCAGTGTGTTCAAGCACAAGGATATCCACAAACCGACATGGATTTCACCAGACGCCAAGACACACTAAAAATCACATCAACTTTATCTCAATCTCAGGAAAATGGAGATGCAGTCTACTTGACACAAGATCAGATGAAGAACAGGAGCAGATGTAGGTGCAGACCACTATCTGGTACAAGGAACCTTCCAAATCAAGTTGAAAGCCTTCAAGAAAGCTGGTGATGACAGATCACAGTTCAAGTACAACACTCGGAACAGAAACTGAAGGACGAAACTACAAAGGAAATCTTCACGACAGCCAGCCATCAAGACAAAATGAGAGATATCGAGGAACATCCCTGAAGAAACCTGTGTGGAAGAACACTGGAGGTCTTTGAAAGAGATGTGGAAAGAAACCTGTACAGCCGTATTAGGAAAGAGGGAAGAAGAAAGAAGATAAGGAATGGACCTCGACGGATCTCCACATGGAAGCTGATAGAGCAGGGAGAGGAGGATGGTGAAGCAGAAGATGAACCAGTGCAAGGATGCTCAACGACAAGAGGAACTGAGTACAATGTATCAAACACTACACTGGACAAAGAAGTGAAGAAGAGTGCACGCAAAGACAAAAGGCACTTCTACAAAACACTGGCAAGTGAAGCAGAACAGGCTGCAGGTAGGAGAGACAGTGTCCTGACAACATTGTATCAAATAACCAGGTTGCTATCAGGGAAGAGACCAACACAGATGAGACCAATAAAAGATGATGACGGAAATTTAATTACGAAAGAAGAGAAACAAAGAAAACAATGGGCTGACCACTTCGAGAAGCTCTTGAATCGACCACCACCATCACCTGCAACTCGTCCAGAAATACCACCTACAGCCCAGCCGCTGAACTGCAAGTGAACACAAATCCTCCAACGAAAGTCGAAGTCCTGAACACCATAAAGCTACTGAAATGTGGGAAAGCAGCAGGACCAGATGGGATCCCGCTAGAAGCACTGAAAACAGACTCAGAGACAACAGTGGACATGCTCACACCACTATTGCACAAGGTTTGGAAGGAAAGGTACCTGGCGATTGAAAGAAGGGTTACCTTGTCAAACTGCCGAAGAAAGGAGACCTCAGTGTTTGCAAGAACTGGCGCGGAATCACGCTCCTGTTCACCCAATGCAAGCGAAATATTAAGCTGCATCATCTTGGAGAGACTAAATGATGCGCTGCATTCAAAACTACGACCGGAATAGGCTGGCTGGCTGGATTCAGGAAGTACAAATCATGTGAGGACCAAATCGCAACTTACGCTACGCATCATCATAGAACAGAGTATAGAATGGCAGTCAACTCTCTACCTGAACTTCATCGACTTTGAGAAGGCCTTTGACAGCGTCGACCGAGAAGTAATTTGGAAACTGCTTCAATACTACGGAATACCACAAACCTTTATCAGCCTCATTCAACAATTATATGAAGAAGCCTTATGCCAAGTAATTCACATTGGGAAGCTGAGTGATGCTTTTGAAGTGAAGCCAGGAGTGGAACAAGGTTGCCTACTATTCCCTATGACATTCCTGATTGTGGTGGACTGGATCATGCAACAAACAGTGAGGTGTGAGAAGTAGGGGCATACGCTGGACCTACGGAAAGAACCTAGAAG